TAAAAAATGGTTTAATAAGATTGGAATATTGCATGACTGAGCAAAATATTGCTGATCAATTTACAAAGGCCCAAGGTGCAGTGAAACACAAAAAAAATTGTGATGACTATGGGTTGAGGTTGTAAATAGATATATATATTATTATATTACCCGTGTGGAAAGGGAACTTCATGAGGACAGTGGTGACACCCAAGCAGGAAAAGCCCAAAGGGAACATCAGGCCAGCCATAAAACAAACTTGCATAGGAAAAGAGATTTAATAAAAGGTATTGAAAGAAGCCCCCTAGACAAAAGCCAAGTAATTAAGAAAGCTAGGGAAACAAGAAAAAGAAATCCCTTACAAACAACAGGTCATGCCAAATCAGCAAAACAAATAGACAAAAGACACGAAATAAATTCCATAGCAGACAGGAGATTGCCACCAAACAAATATAAGAAAACATTAGAATGAAACTGATAATCCAATCAAACCACCCCGTGGAGTTTACCCTCCGGCGGAAATGAAGACAACCCCTGACAGGATTTAAAACATTAAGAAATACAAACACAAGCACACACACACAAAAGGAGAAAAAGGTATAAAAATCAGGGGTTTATTATACAAAGATGGCTAGCCCCAGGAACGCAGACTTCTTGCTATTTCTTGCCTTCCTGAAAAATAAAAGGAACCAGCTTCCAAGCAGTTGTCTCTGTCTTTAAACCGAAGTTCTCCCAGCAGGAAAATCGAGCTCTCAGAAGAAAGGCATTTTCCAGCCTTTCAACACCCAAAAGGGGAGAATGTTAGGAATAACATAGGTTACCTAACGTAGTTTGGGTAAAATAATATATATAAACTATGATTGTAAGTTTAAGTGTGTGTCACTTTAAACTGCAAAGCATGTAATTTTGGGTGCGGTGTTGAACCGCCATAAGAGGGAGCAAGAGAACCTACTGATTGCTGACGATTCCCTGACTATACTGGATTGATGGTTTGTTAACTGCATGTTTTCCCTACTGCTGAGTTGCTGAAGGAAGAGAGGAGTTTTGACTTCTTCATATCTCTACTGCGAGGAGATATATTCCTGGACTGATATTTGTAAGTTTACTGACCTCTTTTTCGACACTGGAATTTGCAACTGAATAATCCCTGGACGGACTGAACTAGTGAATGATATATGGACTGTTTGACTATGCTATAACTCTTACTGGAATAAACTATTTAACTAGCACGGTGTATCTGTTTTACTGAGTGTAAGCTACAAAAACGTTTATCTCACATATTTTGCCTGCCTGCCTGACTGCCGTGCAGATTCTGCTAGGGTGTATCCCTAACAGCCAGTCTAATTTGCTCCCAAGTTCCCCCGAAGGCCTTGAAAACAGAACTCTGCCCAAGGGGGGGTTGAGGGCTGGCCTCCCTCCCTGCAGAATTACGTCCCCTGGAGATTTTTATTGATAAAACTGTTGATTTAGTTTTATGGGTGAGTCTGACTGCAATGTGCCTCGACTGAAGGACGGGGTGTCCTCGACTTAACAACCTCAGTGGAGCCCAAAATGTCCCTTGCTTTGCAAGACAGTTAAGTAAGTTTTGCCCTATTTTACAACCTAAGGTCTACTTGTAAAATATTCCTACACTTGTTTCCAAGTTGGCATAAGAAAGAGGGGGAAGGACCGGAGAAGCATACGGCCAATTAATTCCAACTTTATCTTGAAAAAGACTGCAATGGAAGCTTTTGCCCCGAAAAACTTTTAATTGGAGAACGTGACAGATGACACCCAGCCCCTGTGTTTAATTGGAGAGGTTGATTTATGGCACACACCCAGGGGGGAGGGGGGGAAGCCAGGTCACAGGTGACTGTCATTACCTGTGCCAGAATCGGCTTCATGCAGATCAGGCCAGCGTGTTGCTCCTAATGAATCCTTTGAAGTTTTTTGAAGTTTGGCTCATGATTTAATTTAGGCAAACCCTGGAATCCTGCACTTGTCTTGCCACAGTCGTTAAGTGAATCATGCGGTTGTTCAGTGAACCTGGCTTCCCCATTGCCGGGCAGAGGGTCACAAAAGAGGATCACGTGACCTCAGGACACGGCAACCGTCACACGTGCACTCCAGGTGCTGAGGGGCCGAATTTTGATCACGTGTGTATGTGTTGCTGCAACAGTTGTATGAAAACCAGCCAAAAATCAGGGTTTTTTTTCAGTGCCGTTGTAACTTCCACTAAACAAATGTTTATAAGTTGAGGACTGCCTGTATAACCTGCCACAAGTCTTGGGAAATTCAGCAGACACAAGTAGTGTGGCAACTCATAAAATATTTCTCTGGTCTTTTTAGAGTGGCCGTAACAGGGGGAGCAGTGGGGCAGCTTGCAAACTGAAAGCGCATTCCATCAATGTTTTTTCAAAGATAGTAACTAGGCGACTGAACTTTCTGCTGTGCAAAATTCTAACTGGAGAGCCTGATGGAGGACTCTGGGCTATGGACGTGTCCCATTGGAGGATATGAATTATGACACACCTGGGGGGTGCAGGGGGGTGAACCAGGGTCAAGGGGGACAAGGAATGATGCGTCTCAGAATCGGCTGCACCCAGGCAGGGCCGGACAGTTTAACGCCCCATAAATCCTTTTGAAGTTTTGGAAGTTTGGCTCGAGACTCGTGATTTAAGTGGGGGTAGCTCCCTGGAGCCCAGACAGGTAGTCCTCGACTTCCAACTGTGATTCTGCCCCAAATTTATGCCGAGAACTTCGTTAAATGAGTTTTGACCCCTTTTACGATGTAACCTGCCAGTTGTTAAGCGAATCAGTGAACAAAGGTCAGTGGTTAAGTCAGGGAACACGGTTATTAAGCCGATCTGGTTTCCCCATTGACGCTGCAACCGTCATAAATGAGAGTCCGTGGTCAAGCACCTGAATATAAATCATGCGATGGTGGACGGATGCTGCAACGGTCATAAGGGCGATGAACGGTCACAAGTCATTTTTTTCAGGGCCGTTGTAACTTTGGTCACTAAGTTAACCCGCTTAAAGTCGAGGACCGCCTGCCTTTAGCTCCAAACTGCAGAAGCAGCCAACTAACCTCTCCGTGCGTTAAACCTGGGATCAAACTTTGCACTTGGATCGCAAGAAGCCTGATTGGACTCGGGGGGGCAGGGGTCTCCCACCTTGGCCCCTTTAAGGCTTGGGGACTTCAACTCCCAGAATTCTCCAGCCAGCTTTGCTTAAAGGGGCCAAGGTTGGAGCTGGCTGGGGAATTCTGGGAGGGGAAGTCCACCAGTCAAAAAAAAGGCCCAGCGTTTGCCACCCGTTTTAGACAAACCCTGGGGCGCCTCTGCTTAGTGTTTACAAGCAGTTGTATGCCAACCCAGAGTAGGGAAACAGGCAATGCAGGGGAGGGGGCTGGAGGTGGCAGGAAAGGGGGCGTCTCCTCACATGGGCTTGAATGCGGCCTACCATTGGCCCAAATTGGTGGAGAGAGGAAGGAGGGGGCCGGAGGGGGGAAGGAGAGAGGAAATGGGAATAAATTTGATTTTCACTAAGGGCTCCCAGAGCTGCTTTGGGTGGGAAATAAAAGCTTCCTTCATTCCTGCCAGTGGCGAAGTCCGGCCCAGCCAAAGCAGCAGGGGGGCTGGCCTCGTGCCCAGGAGGAGAGGGGGGGGGGCTCCCTCTGGCCAGCAGACCCCCTCAAGGCAGCTGCCAAAGCCCCTGTGTCCCCCACCCTCTGGGGAGGGGTCCAGACCCCACCACTCAGGGGCAGAAAATGGCAGCCGGAATCTAGGCTGGGGGTAGTAGGGAGGGGTCCCAAGTAAAGCCAGGCCACTCGGCCTCCCACCCACCCAGTGAAGAAAAGGGGGGGGCATCAGAACATGCCAAGGGGGACGGGCAGCTGGGTTTGTAAACCCCCCCCCACTCCCCTTTGAAAGAAGGAAACCGGTCGATGCCCTAAGGGAGAGACCCCTCACCCACCCCACTTAAAGTGTCATCCTGGGGGGTGGGGGGCTTCTTAGGCCGAGGACAGAAGTCGGGGAGGCGGGGGGGGGCTGTGCTATTTTCCCCAAATAGCTGTGATTCCACCCCCCCCCCCACAGCCCCAGAAACCTCTCTGCTGCCCCCCACTCACAAGCTGCCTTTTCCCAGGCAAGACTCTGGGCTGTGGCCCCCCCACTCCCCCCAATCTCTTTCTTACAACATCCTGGTTGCAAGGAAGGCTGGGTTAGTCTGACCAAGAGGGGGGGGGGTGAGGAGGGGAAGGGGGTCTTTTAGCCCCGACTAAATCAGGGGTCTCCAAACGTGGTCGTTGGGTGTGTGTGTGTGTGTGTGTACTTCAACTCCCAGAATCCTTCAGCTGCTTCCAAGACTTGCAAACTTGCCAACTCCCAGACTCCTTCAGCCAGCGATGTGGGCCCCCCTTGGAGACCCCTGCCCCAAAGGGAGCTGCCAGGGGAGCCAATCCAGAGCATTTCTGATTTTCTCCCCTGCGATGCGATTAAAGGCTCCAGAGATGGGAGGCATCGGGTGGGCAGCCTCTGGCCCCCAAAGGGGAGGGGTAGGGTGGATAGGATGGGGGTGGACACACATAGTTTCCCCCGCCCCTAACTGTCTCTGGAGCTTCTCTGGCCGGGCAGGGAGCCAGGACTGAGCAAAACAGGGGGTGAATTCTAGCAAATGAGCTTCTAAACCAGGGGTCCCCAACCGTGGCCACTTTAAGAGTTGTGGACTTCAACTCCCAGAATCCCTCAGCCAACCTTGGCCACTTTAAGACTTGTGGACTTCAACTCCCAGAATCCCCCATCCAGCATAGCATAGGGACCTTGGAGGTCCATTAGTCCAGCCCCCCTCCTCAAGCAGGAGATCCTGTGCATAGCTGGCTGGGGAATTCTGGGAGTTGAAGTCCACCGGTCTTAAAGTGGGGCCACAGATGGGGACCCCTGGTTTAGCCGAGGACGTCGCCGCTGGAAACAGAGAGACAAACTGCCCAAGCCTTACGAACAAAGCAGTATTTACAACAGAGGTGAACAAACTCTCGCTCTTCAGTCAAACAGATCGCAAAGGCGCTGGATCTCAGCGAGGCTGGACACTTCAGCCGGCAGCGTGGAGAGGGCCTGGAGGGGAAACAGGAGAGCTACATTCAGGCCACGGGGCTCCGGCCTGCAACAACCAGGTGGAAAACAGAAGGGGGGGAGGCAGTGGGGTGTGGGGGAACCACCCTCCTCTCCGGGGGTCTTGAACCCAGGGCTGACAGCAGGACGGTTTCTGGTGAGGCTGGCTGGCCAGGCGTTTGGGTCTTGGAGAGCTGCAAGTTTGGCTGAAGGTCGTGGCAGCCGTTCCCTTAGCCAGCAGGTGGAAGAGAGCATATGAATCTCAGAAAGTAAGAATTGGAAGGGACTGTAGAGGTCATCTAGACCAGAGGTCGCCAACAGTGGTCCGTGAGAAAATTTTGGTGGGCCGCAATCTCACTCCAAGAGCACCCTCCCCCCAAAGCAATTAATCCAGGCTGCGCAGGAACAAAAGGCAGCGCCGCCCACATGGCCCATGGGAACCCCGCGGCCTACCCCTTACCCAGCAAACTTGCTATTTTTCCTTTCCCCACCCCCCCACCCAGCCATCATCTGTTCTGCTGTGCCAGGAGATTTGGATTAGCTAGGAAGCAGAAAATGGTTGGATTTCTTGCTTTCTAGCTAGTTTTAGATCTTCGGCTCTGCTTTTAAGCACAGCCGAACCTCCCTTAGGACTGAAGCTTCTGTTATTCAGTGCAGGCTCACGACAAGCAAATTTTATGTGACAGACTGACCTAGCCGATGGCAGATAGATAGATCACTGAGTGAAACTATGATTCTGTGAGCAACTCAATCTGCCTGCCTGCTTTGCCTGAGTTTGGGTAAAAGTTGCTCTTTTTTAATAAAAAAAAATTCAATATTTACATACATGGTGTGTTGTGAGTTAATTTTGTGAGTTTGCTTGCAAGCAAATTTTATGTGACAGACTCAGGTAGCCGATGGCAGATAGATAGATCACTGAATGATTCTGTGAGCAACTCAATCTGCCTGCCTGCTTTGCCTGAGTTTGGGTAAAAGTTGTTCTTTTTTTAATAAAAAATTCAATATTTACATACATGGTGTGTTGTGAGTTAATTTTGTGAGTTTGCTTGCAAGCAAATTTTATGTGACAGACTCAGGTAGCCGATGGCAGATAGACAGATCACTGAATGATTCTGTGAGCAACTCAATCTGCCTGCCTGCTTTGCCTGATTTGGGGTAAAAGTTGCTCTTTTTTAAAATAAAAAATTCAATATTTATATAAATATTTATAATATTCACATACAAGCCATGCCCGGCCAGTCACATGACCACCAAGCCACCCACAAATTAGGCCATGCCCACAGAACCAGCTAGCGGTCCCTGGGATTTAAAATTATTTGGAGTTTGGTGGTCCCTGAGGTCCAAAAGGTTGGCAACCCCCGGTCTAGACCTCCTGTTCCTATCCCCAAATGGTGGCCATCCAGCTGCCCTTTAAATCTTGCCCCGCCCCCCGTCCTGCCCCCCCACACAAAAGAACAGTCACTATGATTCTGGGGAGAATCGTCTTATTTGAGGGGTCTCCAAGCTTGGAGATATTTGAGGGATATCCAACCGTGGTCACTTTTGAGACTTGTGGACTTCAACTCCCAGAATTCCCCAGCCAGCTATGAAGCAGAGAGGACTGTGGGGTCCCTGATGCTCTCTGGGCTGGGTGGTTTCCTTGCAGACGTTTCATGGCCCAACTAGGGAACATCATCACTGCTGGAAGGGAGTGGGGTTTGCAGAAGAGGGGAGGAGGAGGAGGAGGAGGAGGAGGAGGAGGAGCAAGTGGCCCC